AGCAAAAAAAAAAAAAAACTCAGAAAAAAAAATTCTGTATGTGTATGTGTGTGTGTGTGTGTGTATGCCCAAAATGCTGAGAGGAGAAGGGACTATAGTGTGACCATCTCCCTTTGGGGTGCCTTGTTATCTCCCCCAACTATCTCTTTGGCAAGCACATGCACCTGATAGTAAATTTAAACACACACACACATACACACAAACACACACACACATGCATGTACAAACACACTGGCAGGACAGCTGGTGGCATGGTGGTCAGTGCAGCTGAATCCTACATGTCCACTGTGTGATTCGAGTCCTGGATCCAGTGGCTTAAAAAACATACCAGATACCTGTGTGCATGTGCCCAAAATCCTGAAAAGGAGAAGTGGAGAAAGAATTGTGGCATGACTATCCTCTGTGGGGATGCTTTCTCACTTTCCCTCTGTCTCTGGTTAGCACACAGTGCTCTCTAGCAAATTAAAAAAAGAGAAAAGAAAATAAAAGGTTATTTCACTGGGTTTTCAATGAGGGCTGAGAAACCAGACATGGAGTTCTGTAGTGAAGAAGAATGCTCAGAGCCTGCTGCAGAACCAGCATGAGCAGAATGCCCTAAGACCTGGTTGCTGAAGCTTGAGAAGCTTGCATCACTGCAGCTGCTGAGCCGGAAACTCAGTGTTAACCACAACCTCCCCGGCTGCCAGAAGAATCCCGCACCAGGCCTACTCCCAGGAAACTAGCTCCTGGCTATGTACCTGCGATGCAGCTGTGACAGTCTGGGAAAGTGACTCTGGCAATTTCAACTTTAAGAGGAAGTTCTGCTTCTCTACAGAGTTCTAAGTTGAAGGATTTTTTCCAAACAGAAAAGAAACTCACTTACTTTTGGCACCTACTGAAGTGACCCTGTTTTACTCTCTTCAGATGTCAGTATCCCAAATTATGTTAATGTATTTTCAAATTTTGCAACTCAGAATGCTTGGAATTAACTCTACTTGATCATTAGGAATGATCCTTATAATTCTGGGTTAATTGGCTTACATTTTATTTGGAACTTTTCATCTAAGTTAGAAAATAGGAGTGGCCGGGGTCAGCAGGTGGCGTGGTGGTTAAGGGTGCTAGACCACATGTCTGACCACGATCTGAGTCCCAGACCTGGCAGCCTGCTTTCTCACTTTCTCACTCGCTCTGTCCCTCTCTGGTCAAATTAAAATAAATAAATAAATAAAGTTAAATAATAAATAATTCTTGGGGCCAGCAGGTGGTGTAATGGTTAAGATGCTGAGCTCCACATGGCCAACTATGGTTCAAATTTTGGACCTGGTGACTTGCTCTCTCTCTTTCTCTCACTCACTCTTTCTCTCCTTCTCTGGTCAAATTAAATAATAATAATATGAAATTAAGTAAATAAATTTAAAATCATAATAATAAATAATTCTTTAAATAAAACAAATGGAAGTGGCCTATAGATTTTTTTTTTGGAGGTCTTTGTTTTTCTTTTTTGTTTGTTTTGGGATCAAGGTTATGCTAGCCTTGTAAAAATAAGTTGGAAAACTATATATTCTGGAACACAGT